AGTGGCTTAAGTTGCTTTGTCAGGAACGCAGAGATTTCCGTCGCTCCATGAAAGCACAACGCCGCAGTCTGCGGACTATTTTCTCCCCTGGACCCTGACCAACTTTTTGCGGGACCTTACATGCCCCAAATTCACCCCGCCACGTCGCGGGAGAAGTCTTTAACCCTTTGGGAGACTTGAGCACCTTCTGTTCAAAAATACAGATGCCTCAAATGGTTCAAACTTGTTGTTGACTCACCGCTTCACAGTACTTGACCTTTACAGCCAAATATTTCACCGGCAATCGGATGCCCATAGAGTAGCATATTAATGATTAATGTCTCAGTTATTATTATTATGGCCTCTGATACCACAATGGAAACAGGTTCCAAGGAAAGGTCCTTGTCCACCCCCATTGTGTTGTTTTGGCCACTGTTGTTCGGGTTCCTGTCGCCTCCTTGTCGAGTTGCTGGTGTTAGTTCAGGGCAATTTAGCTTCTTGTGTCCATACTTTCCACAGTTGTTGCAAGTGCCTTTGAATTGACCAGTAACCAAAGCGACATCTTTGTCTTCATTGTCTTCGTCGTTGTCGTCTCCTTCTGTTGCGTTGGCGAAGTCCTCATGTGCAGAATTCAGTTCTTCCTTGATGTACTTAATGGTGAGTGTGTTCGCTTTCATCATTTTCTCAAAGTCCTTTTGCTCTTGTCTGTACTTCAAAGGCAAACTTCCAATGATGTGAATGAATTGGTCCTCTTCACTTACTGGGTGCTTCATCTCTTCCAAACAAACACAGATCTTGCTGATTTCGGTGATCCATGAAGCTGGATTAGCAAACTTCTCAAGGTGACACTTGTTTAGCTTGCTCTTCATCTTGATGTACAAGGTGATCGTCTTTGGCTCATACCCATCCTTCAACTTGTCCCATGCTTCTTTCGCGTTTCCTTTTGGGTAGTTGACTTTATCTCTGCTTCCCGCTACCAAATTGAAAGCGACCTTTCCCTCTGCCGTGTCAGTGTTCATGCTGATCTACAAGTCACTGAAGGCCTTGATGTTCATCTCGCTGATCTCCTCGTCTTCCTTGATCTTCGCTGTGTCGGTTTCAGCATCCATCTCTGGTTTGGTTTGTAGAGTCACTTCTCCTGTGATTACTCCATCAAATCTTTTGATGCTAGCTCTTGCTACATACTTCAATCCAAAAGTATCATAGTCTTCAGGTTCTCCACTGAATTGGAATCGTGGAGTTCTTTCTTCGTATTCACTCATCTTGTTCTCTTCTTTTGTTACTTTCTCTCGTATCTTCTCTCTCTCTTTCTCTTGACAATTGCAATATCTCGGTCGTTATCAATTTCAGCTCTCTCTTCTAGCCTGCGATAAGACACCTCTTTCTCTTATTGTTCTTACTGATAACCAAACTTCTCTTGGAATTCAGATCTGACGTTTCAAAACGTGTTGGAATCTCCCTAGAAGTAAAATCTATCGGTCTTGCAATTGTGAGCTAGAAGTCATTTTTCTACTTTCTATTTGTACTTCTCAGTCATACACAGTTTCCGGTAACTTGCTATGACTGCATTCAACTCACTTCTCCTTATGTATTGGTAGCCATTTGCTCTCATCAACACTCCAAGCAGACATAGTTCAATCTTGTATAATGCATTTTCCCTTCAGTGCCTTTTTACACTTTCCATTTACTCTTTAAGCCATTCCCCATTCTCCGAGTATCTCGTTAGAATACATCTTCAAAAAATTCAAGCCAAATATTAACAGATCGGGGGTCAGGTAGCCCCCTAGGGGCTATCCCCCCCCCCATACTTCAACTTCAAGCAATGAGATGACTATGATAAAAGTCAAATTTACCAATGCAGCTTTGAATATATATTCTCTTAGTTATCTACTAGATTATCCTTGAATATTGTTGGCAGTGATGATGACTGGCCGAAGCTGTGCCAATTTTTCATTTTGACCAAAATGACCAAAATTCAACGCCCTGCCAAAAATCGTGCACGCTTGGTCCGTCGACCAATGCTCATCAACAACAACCTCCGCACACTTCAAATTTGCACCAATGCAACCCAAGAGGGAACCAAACAATTTTCCCAAATGCAGTATATGTGTGAAGATCGGGTGCACAAAGAATTTTTCAAAATGCCCAAAACTTGCTGCCAAACTTCCAAGGAAAAAGTCAAGTCAACATTCCATGATGACGTCAAGGCAACAATCAAACTGTGGCAACTTCAAATCCCTCCCATATTATCTTTGAGCTGGAAACTACTTGCTTTTCAAGATAAGCAGATGAGATTGTTGAGCTTTCAGCTCCAACACTACAGCATTGCTAGGAAACGTTTCCAGTATTATCCGCAACAATTATGAAACCACTACAGTGTGTTGCATAAAATGAAAATGTACACAGCTAAGTGATGAAATGTTGAGGAATGCACCAGACTTTGGATAGGTTGGTTCAGAACTCCTAAAGTGGATTGGTGAGCTGGGTGGTGGGGTCCTTCAACGAGGAACTGTCTATTTTGTTGAATACAGTGAGCCATCATTTGGCTCTCCATAATTGGAGGAGGCATGCAAGTGCTATGAGGTACCCATTTCTCCTAGAATATACTAGTAATTTGAGATGATGATATACTTGGAAGAGACTCGGCGATAGAAAGCAAAGGACTGCCTATGAGTATGTTGTTGCGAATACAAATTTGGCCAAACACATATCAGGCATTTGCAAATGATCAGGCACTAGCCAAAATCCTTAAATACACCGACCAATAGATTTTGAGAAGGGTAAATACCTGTAAAAAGACTGAGATGGGGTGGAACTTTGATTGTAGCATCTTGTTGCATTGGCTTTGACGTCCGAGTCACCAAAGCTGAAAGAGCACAAGCCAGTATACACTATGACTTTGGATGCCGACGATGCACTTGCTGGAAAGTGAAATTGGCGCATCTGGATTGCAATAGGTCTAAATACATTAGATAGAGGTTATTTTGGCTCCTTATGCAAGAATCAAATGGCTGAAGTTGACCATTCTAATATGAAGCATCTGTTGTGCAAAATTCGGCTCCATGGCCTCCTAGACTCGGACCCATAGCCCAGCCGTTGCTGCATGATAAATATTTTTACTATTTAGATATCCCTATTCCTTGTCCCAATACATTGGATGGTGAAAGTGCGACAAACCTCCTGCAGATGAAGCAACATCTGATTAAGCACATTTTGAATCCACTCATCCACGAGAGGGAGCATTTGGGAGTAGTCCCATCTTATATCATCCTTCCAACCCACTATCCTAAGAGATTAAGTATGCATGATGAGCGGAGGGAGTGTGCTCTGTGCTTGAATCTGCATCTATCGCACACATTATGAATCGCTCGTGTTGGATGCAAATTGTGATGAAATCAGTGCATTTCATCCTGCTCCAAAATGAAGCGAGCTTTGGGGTTTTATTCCCCAATAATAGGAAAGGGAACACAACAAAACTCATCAGTATCACAGGAGCCACATTGTCTCATTTCCAATGGGTGTCAACAAGAGCCCCATCATGCTTGAGACTGATATATTTTCTGGAGCGCCGTCCCTTTTGCAAAGTCCAAAATTGGTCCATTGAAAGCTCCAATCCAAAGATTGTTATTCCTTATGGAGAATTGGGTAGTTCAGATCTAATTTGTAGCTTCAGTCTGGTGGTGAAGGCATTTGATGGCTAGAACTAGGCACTTTTGCTCGATCAGGACAAAAAACTTGATGATGTTGAACATTTACGTCTACAAGTGTGTGGTACATTTATTTTGTATCCCTGAAATTGGGGATAGCCCTGTCCGGTCCGGACGGGGCTACCCCCCCTGATTCCCAATTGGTTAATCAAATAGGAACAATTTCACTCAGAGTATACCTAGACACAGGAGAACTATTGTCATGAAAGAATTGTACAGTCAATTACGAATTTAGATTGCAGAGAGTTTGTTCTGAGCGCTACAGGCACTCACGAAAGAGCACATTTTGCTTTATTCTAACAGTCCTAGTCTTGGAACCTTGGCAATGGCTTTGGATGTCATGGGCAAGGTCGCAAATGCACTGCTGCAGCCTGGTTGAGTCCAATGACAAAGGCTCAGTTTGTGTGCAAGTTGAAATATTAGATGGCCGGTCTGGCATCAACCGTCGATCCATCACAAGAGGTTTCATGAAAGTTGGTTCTCCTCGGTAGAAAAGGTACGGGGCTTTGCCCCAAACCCCTTTCAACTTCATGAAACTTTGCCCTTCGTGCAAAACCTAGCATTTTTTGGAACTGATACCAGTATGCGGGTATTGTCCCGCGTCGAAGACACGCAGGCCAGTGTTAAATTGACGCAACCCGCATCAGTTGACGCGAAATTGGCGTTAAACTGACGCAACCTGTTGTGTCAGACTGGAACACCCGGCAGATAGATGAATTCCTTGTGGTTCCTTCTTGCAAGATGACTAAATAACGAAGAAGTCATTTCTCATATAGAAGAACATCTTGTCATTCATAAATAGTTTAGAACCAAAAGAGACATTTTTTCAAATCTTTAGTCATTATTAGTTTATTCAGCGGCACAACTGGCATAATGATGGAAAAACTGATTTCAGGTCGCGACTCATTACTTCTATAAAGTTACTCGTTCCAAATAAAAATTACTCGTTCCAAGTAAAACTTACTCGTTCCGAATAAAACTTACTGGTTCCGAATAGAAATTACTCGTTCTGAATAAAGAATACTCGCTTTGCAATGTGACTTATTTCTTGTTTTGGTGGCTTCTCATTATTTTGGTGGCTTCTCATGGTTTCTGGAAGTCCCACAAAAATATCCCCTGGACTGTTCAGTCCTACCCCCATGATCTTCATTTGTGATGTTTTATCCCCAATCAACCAAGTCTTGGATTGAGACGTAGAGCAATACGGGAAAGGATTGGAGAGGAGATCTGCAATGTTATATCCCCAATCAACCAAGTCTTGGCTTGAGACGCAGAGCAATACCAGAAAGGATTGGAGAGGAGATTGTGAGTGTCAACAATAATGCTCACAAAACTTCATATTGTCTTTTGTGTCGTTGATGGATACCGGTATTATTTGTTTTGAGATTTTTTCAGTAAGTCTGTTTTGCCAAAGTCCCAGCTGTGAAAAAATGCCCCAAGATGATTCAGCCCCCAAAAAAACTGCTCACTTTTGGTCGCTTCTCATCGCTTTGGTCGCTTCTCATCGCTTTGGGAAACGAGTAATTTCCATTCGGAACGAGTAATTTCCATTCGGAACAAGTAATTTCCATTCGGAACGAGCAGAAACCTTATATTTTTGCTCACTTCTGATCGTGTTATGGTCGCTTCTCATCGCTTTGGTTGCTTCTCATCGTTTCTGTTTGAACCAATCATAATTGGTCATCATCAGCTTTTGCTCTTAAGTATGATTTAATCTTCTTATCCCGCGTGATCACATGGATTTTGAAAATGACTTGAGAAGTCTGTCCGCTCTCCGAGCATTGACAAAAATCATTGTTCTGCCGGGTCACTATGGTTTCGGAGAAACATTGAGCTGGAGGGCTGACGCGCTACGTCTTCATCTCAATGTTTCTCCGACAACAGCTTTGACTATAAAGGGACTACATCAGCACATCAACTTATCACAAATCGTTGGTCCAACCCAGGAAAATTCGATTGAAAATTGGAACTTGTTTTGAATTTCTTCAAGTTTTAGTTGATACCTTGCTTCAACAAACAGCATGACAATGATCTATTTTTATCAGCATATGCAATCGGATATAACGTAGTCCTAATACTATGAACCTTAAAGTCGTTAATAAAACTTGCTTTAGTTGGGATAAGAGTTTTTGAATGGCCAAAGCAAATTCATGCTTTTGGACATCCCAAAAACTCTCTACACAGTTTTAAACTACTGCAATTCTATTGTTCATCTTTCGAACAACATCTGCCCATGACTGGTTCTCCATACTCTCACGGTTGATGTATGATGGTTTAGACTTGTCACTATCTGACTCAGGGGAGTCGTCTGTACGACTTCCAACATGCTCCTTGACTGATTCTTCCTCATCATCCTCTAGTAGAGAATCGATGTGTTTGTATCCTAAAACCACATTGCGAAACTTTCGAAACAAACTACCTTGCAAAGGTTTGGTGAAGAAATCCGCCAGTATCTTTGCGGTCTGACAGTACACCACATCGATTCCCTCGGACAACAATTGATCCTTAATAAAATAAAAACGATTGTCGATGTGTTTCGACCTTTTTCCGGCTGACTTCTTACCGTTCAAAAGGATCTTCATGGCGCTCTGATTGTCCTGGTACAGAGTGTTCTTTTCCAGTTCGAACCCCTGCTGTTCCAAAAACATCCTCACCCAAATCATGTTCGGCAAAAAGTCGCTCACGCCCACAACTTCTCCTTCAGTTGAGCCTTACACATGGTCGAAATCACCCCCCAGCCGAAAGAGATGCATCCTCCAGTGTGACTTTTGCAGTCGTCGTGGATTCCATACAAAACATCCACCCATGCTTGCATTCTTCTGATGTTGTCTCCACCAATGATTCTTGTTAAATCTATCGATCCTTTCAAATACTGCAAAACGCTCTTGAGCTTGACCGAATCGTCTTCATCTGGACATCCTACTCTAGGTTTGAATGTCTAGACGGCATCGTCTTGAGACGTACAAGAGTGACGCTGTTACGCTGTGAAAATTGTCAGCCCTTTCCTTGCTTAAATCTTTTGCAGCTTCTCTCACATCAAAAAGATAGGTCTTGGCAGGCGAAGTTGCCTCTCTATTGATATCATCCATAAACATATCGATCGCCTTCTGAATGTGTTTCTTCATGCTGATCTCCACCTTCCCGTCTTTGTATGTTATCTTCATTCCCAAAAACTCGTGCTCTTCCCCGAACTTGTTCGTCATCTTGCCGAACTTGGCTTCAATCTTCCTGATGATATCCTTTACGACTTCCAATTTCATATGGCTGATCTTGTTGTCGTCCACATACCAGCAAATCGTGCATTGCTTTCCATCAATGTCACAGTTGGCGACGCACAGATCGTACGGATTAAGCTTGAAGCCCATATCCATGAGAGTTTCCGAGCAAAGTTCATACCATAGCATCGAGCTTTTCACGCACCCATATAATGCTCTGTCCAATTGTACGTACAGCACTTTCCTGCCCTTCACGACGGTGACAAATTCCCTTAGGCTTGGATCAAGATCACAGAAGAAATGCGCATGATTACTCGATCTTTCATCTTTGCATTCAGGTATGCTCCTCTGACGTCGCTGGTGGCCTTGAACCTTCCCTCGATCGCGTCAACAATGCAGGTGATGAAAAGTGAATCTTGATCCACAGTAGGAGAAGCTGTCTCATCCTTGGCGTAGATTCCCCGCTGTACTCGACCGTTGAAAACGCTCCTAGCTCTTAGCATGGGATTCTCATCGGTATGTCCTCTATTGATCTTTTCCTCAATAAGATTAATCATGTCTCCGGCTCCTCTCTTTTCTTCAAAAGAGATGCCGTCGGGTCCGTCCGCTTTAACTCCGTGGAAAACTTGGAACTCTAGTAGCTGCGCGAACTCGGCAATTAGCTTCAGTTCTGCTTCTTTGTCGTACTTCTTGATGCCCTGCTTGGCAGACATTTGGGCAAACGCAAGTCCCGTGGTAGATCGCTCCAAAAGGTGAGTCGTTCCGGTGAGCTGGTGTTCCTCCCATGCACAAGTGAAGAAATCCACCTTTTCTTCCTTTTCCAAATCTTCGAACCTCTTGTTCAAAAACGCCAAGGAAATCTTTTTCCTTTTGGCCTTCTTTTTATTTGCCGATCCTTTCGTGATCAAACTTTTGCTAGTCTTATTTCTTTTCTTGTTGTGAGCGGCTCTTTTTCTCCTCTGAAAGCTGCTCACCTTTCCCTTTATCTTTCCAGAGATCTTCTTGATCCCTGTTGTTTGCAACGCTGAATACTTTTCAGCGGGTTTTCTTTCTCTCTTTCCTCTTCCGAAGTCTTCTCCTTCGTTCGTGTCAAGATGGCCTCCTCTTCGTTCTTTGTCCTCCGGATTACTGGCTGCCACTACTACTGTTTGGTCCCCGTCCTCCGTCTCGTCCGCTGTTGCCACGTCCTCTTCGGTATCTCCCAAATCGTCGGCATCAGCTTCATCTTCCGTTTCATCGTCAACCACATCCATTTCTGCCGAGAAATCATCATCTTTGCTTTCATCACTTTCTTCCATCAAGTCGTTCTGCGCTCCTTGATTTTCGACCAGTGCTTTGACTTGCGCTCCTTGAGTTTCCGCTCCTTGTCGAGGTCTACTATCAACTTCTTGACCCTTGACTCTATTTCTTTCAAGTCTCGAACAAGTTCTTCCTTGCTCTCCTTGGTCATGTACCGTTGAAAAGTGGCGATGTTGTTCAAAAAGAGAAAATGTATATATATTCAGTTTCGAAAACTCTTATGTTAGATAATAAAAGACCCTACGATACTCTGAGACGATCAGTCTTCAGTTGTTCGGCGTAACGTAGTCCTAATACTATGAACCTTAAAGTCGTTAATAAAACTTGCTTTAGTTGGGATAAGAGTTTTCGAATGGCCAAAGCAAATTCATGCTTTCGGACATCCCAAAAACTCTCTACACAGTTTTAAACTACTGCAATTCAATCGTTCATCTTTCGAACAACATCTGCCCATGACTGGTTCTCCATACTCTCATGGTTGATGTATGACGGTTTAGACTCGTCACTATCTGACTCAGGGGAGTCGTCTGTACGACTTCCAACAGATTCTATTGTCGTAAATAACACAATGTTGTTAACTATTGCTACAAATATCTGCTCGTTGCTCCAGTAAAAAAGAAAATCTTCTAAACGAGCTCCGTGAATTTGCTGAAAACCCAAGAGGGAAAGAGGAAGTCAACAAGCTTCTTGCAAAAGATAAAGACCAAGAGTTTCGCTGTTGTACAAGGGCACTTCTGCCCTTGACAGTCGTCGACCAAGAATCAAACCATGTACAACATCATGTTAATCAATTGAAGAATGAGATACATTGCAAGGAATTGGATGACTTGATTTGGAATCAAAAGAGCTACAAAGATTTCCTAAAAGTTTTTTTTTTAAAAATGAATGTGAAACATTTTGCATGGAATGGTTTGGAAAGAGAAAGTGCCAGCAGTTTTCAAAAGATGAACTTTTGGTCGTTTCAATTCATCTTTGCTCGGCAGCACAAGATAACGTATTAAGGCAGTGGGAATTCCCCCTTTTCATTTTATTTTGTCCCCGCAATACTTAACGCGATTTCCCACAACTAGTTGTGGGAACAGTTTTTTGCCAAAAATTCCCACAACTAGTTGTAGGAATCTTAAAAAATAGTTGTGGGAAATTTCTACAACTAGTTGTGGGAATTTCCCACAACTAGTTGTGGGAATTTCCGTTGCTCAGATGTCGGTTATTTTTGCCTTAAATGTATCGCGAAATATCACGAAAGCAATTAGAGTTTTGGGAAACATCATTTGTAGTTGTTTAATTTCTAGTCAGTACATATCAAACGTTGTTTTGTGTGTAGAACGGACAGTTTTGCGTAGAACGGACAGTTTTCCCATAATTCCCAATAAAACAATTAGAGTTGTGGGAAAATTCCCACAACTACAATTAGAGTTGTTGGAAACTTTAAATTTGTCTCAGTACATATCCTACGTGGTTTTCTGTGTAGAAATGACAATTTTCCCACAACTGTTGAGGGAATTCCCACAACTAGTTGTGGGAAGCAAAATCGAGTTGTGGGAAAAATTGAGTTGTGGGAAAAATTGAGCTGTGGGAAAATCTCGCAACTAGGGGAGAAATCCGGGGATTCCCACTGCCTCATTGTTGGGTGATGTTCATAAGCTTTGGGGAAGGAGTGAGACTGCGCTAAGAACCCAGAAAAAGAAGATCTTGAAGCGTCACAAAGACTTTATAAACAGAAGTACTACAAAACTATCAAACGTTGTTCCAATGGCTGACAATGTCCCTACTTGCCGTTCTGGCCCTTCTCCCCTCTCCGCAGGTGCCTTTGGAGCCTTCCAATCCGGAGCTTTGTCTTCTGCAGGTGTTGACACAGTCTCACCTCGTGCCAAAGACCGTCCCATCAGAAATATTAATTGCAGATCTGGTTAGCAGCCCAAGCCAGAAACTAACAGGTACCCAGAACGAATGGTGGAATTGCAATACGCCAGAGAAACTAGGTGTCGATCAAGAATCTCAGACAAGTGGTACACCTTTGAGCCCTTGGGAAAAGTTCTGTAACGCAGCTGTCAAAGCGTTACTAATTGCAGAAAGACAAAGTGAGGGAAATGAATCATTCGGAGACCGATTGGAGCCATCGAATCTCCATACCAGCGACACTGGTTTCAACAAAGGAGACGGCAACAGCAGCAAAGCACAGCAGTTCTTCTCCTCATCTAAGACAATGAAGAAAGTACTGCAATTCTTCTCCCCATCTAAGGAAGACAGTCCAAACTTGAGGCAAAGTGGCCTAGCCGTCAAAAGAGGAAATTCTGCGAAGGATCTAGTTTTGGGCATTTTCAGAGATGTCAGAGCCTACTTTACCTTTGGTTTGCCACCAGACAAGTTGGTTGTTGCGAAGTTGAACAAACATGATGACAGCGATGGTGCCCACCATATCACCCCAACAACAGACGAGTCAATGAACTGCAGTTTTCAAAACTGCTCACCATGTTTGCATGGAAATTCATGTGAAAGTAGTACTCAAGGCGGTCTTCCTCTTGTGACACCTACTGAGCAGGAGGAGCACAATATCTTCAATTTTGAGAACGTTGTCTCATCAGATGATGAAGCTTCGCCACCAACATCATCTCAGCTAACAGGCAAAGAACGTGAAAGGGTATTTGGCAAAGAGCTAGAATTGCAAGGAGGTCTTCAGCCAACAAATGAAGAAATGGAAAGGATTGCTTGCCAATGGATTGAATCGCAAGGTCTTCAATCCGCCTTCAACGCAATGCTAGAAACTCGTTCTAAAGCTTCAGCATTCTGTGCTTGAAGGAAAAGCTATGTTCAAGTCCCAGTGAGCGGCAATGCAAAATCATTCGCCAGAAATGCAAGAGACAAACAGTCGATTGAGAAAATGATTGAGATTTTGAGCAAACACATGTAAGAGACAGAGAATATACAGCTCTTCTCACTCACATTTTAAAGCACCATCCCGACGAATTTGACCACTTTGCGGCAGAAAACAACATCAAAGGACATCAAAGGATGAATCCACACAAAACAGCGGCAATGGTCAATGAAGCAAATATGACAACAAGTGACCTTCAAACTGTCGGTCGTTACCTGTACGACCACCTCGGCATCAGTGTGTTTGCAACCGAGAAAGACGTAAAAGCAATCACCGACCATTACGTTAGAGCTACCCATGGAATCGCAACCGTAGCAAACGAGCAGATACCATATTGGTATCGTAATGCCGATCAAATTGTAAAGAATTACTTCCAACACAATTGGACAAAGGATCTTGCATCTGACAAGCTTGGGTTTTTTCAGCTGCTATCAAAATCATTCTCTTCAAGGATGACGGCAAAGTGGTGAGATCGGTGGTTGAAAAGGTTGGGCTGGTAAAAGCCAATAAGGATAGTTACGACATCTTGAAAAATACCATCATTGGACCACTGAATGAGTCGTTAGAGAGATTGAAGAATTCTGCCCTCATGATTCCAGCACAGCATCCTGTCACTGATGACATCACTGGTGAGAAATCGGAGGTAACTTTCGTTCCTCTTGAACAAATGATAGACCACAATGAGCCAACCTTTCAGATTATGCTGTTACAAACTGGAGACTTGGCATTTGTCAACACAATTCTTGGAAAGGAAGGCATGTCACCCCATCATTGCTATCTCTGTGACTGCCCAAAGAAAGACTTTCAACATTTTGAACATGACAAAGGCAGTAGAATGACACTTGCAATTGTGGCTGGGCTTAGGGAAGACGTTGCTTCCGGAAAGGTTAGACAAAAGGATATTGCGGCAAACCGGAAGGGGTGCAAAAGACCTCCGCTATTCACGGTATTTGAGCCATGGGAGATTATCATACCATGTCTTCACGTCATGATTGGACTGTTCAATGATGGTTTTAAGTCCTTCATGAACTATGTTGACGTAAGGCATGAGCAAGACATTCCTGAGTCAGAGAAAGTGGCTAGAGCAGAATATTATGATGCACTGACTGAACTCAAAATACGAGAACAAGAGCTCGCGTCATTCAAAGTCGACAGCGATTTGCCTCTTTTGCAGCTGGAGATCCAGACTGAAAGCTACACTGAAATGAAGGCAAAACAAGTTGGGAACACAGGCCAATTTCTCAACCCCAAAGACCAAAGGCCATTGTTTGGACACTGGATAAAACGATCGAAGGAGGATCAAGCCAGTATCTTGAAGAACATCAAAGAGCTAGACAAGGGCTGTGCTGCACAAAAGACAGCTACCAAAGCAAAACAAACCGCTCTAAAGCAGGAGGAAGACAAGAGAAAAATATCCACACAAAAGATCCGTAAATTTATTGATCAAGTTCTGAAAAAGCACGGTGTTGATCGTGGGCATAGCCATGGTGGCGATTTCAATGGCGTTGCATGTCTTATGTTTGAGGATCGTGTTGAAGAAATCTTTGATGAAATCAAGAAAGTGCTTCTAGTGGAAGGTAATGGACACGCAGCAGAAATCAAAGAGGTTTATGAATCCTACAAGCTTCACTTTTGTCTTCTTTCTCACATGTTTTCTCTGGTCCAAACCCAAAAATGGATACCCAATGATCCCAAAATGAAGGCCTCCATCTTGCTAAAAATGAAGGAGGTAATTCCTTTGGTAGACAGATCAACAGAACGATTAGGAATTTCTATGGCGAAGCCAAAACGTCATGTGTTCAGTGATCACAGATTGGGTGGAGAGATTACATCAAGACTACAAGAGATGCACTGCTCGATGCAAGAGCACGAATGAAGAGGTGTGTGCGGATTATCAAAACAGATATGACAAGGTTAATCTCAATTGGAGTGTCTTGGAGCGACAGGAAATCCAACTCACCATCGAGAGAGATGTAGGATTTGTAGAGGAGTCATATGTAGTACTCCTCCAGGACTTTGATGAAGACGAAATGGAGACATATGGGTCCGATGAGGTAGTATAGGCATATTGATGATATGGTGCCATTGTTACTTCTTTTTTTTTCGGAGAAAACGTTTGATAAATTCCTAATAACCCAAACAAGGAATGGTGCAATGTAGTCTTTGATCAGATCTTATTATTATCGCGGTATGGTATAGTTTAAATAAAAAAATAAAGTGTACTTTTCACCATTTCTCCATACATTTTTCTTTCAACTTGCAATGAAACTTGAAAAAATTCCAGGTGTCGCACGTAGCGCGAGGTTTCGCAAATTTTGCGAAACTTGGCGCCGCAGGCACCATAGAAACTGCCTCTCTTTTCCCCAACTTTCGGAACCCTCCCGAAAGATAGATCGTACCATGTGCAAGCTACCGGGGTTGTACTGACCCCCTTTTCTGAATAATCGTCTGCTATTGGTCCGACCATACCACGTTGACAAGAATTCTTCGGTCGCATCCATTTTTTGCTTCCACCACGATAGGGAGCCTTGGGGCCAACGAAGGCATCACCCACACCAAGAAAATGGTTGCAAAGCTGAGATTAGCTTTATCATAACTGTATCTATCTTGTTCAAATGCAGTGATACGGACGGATTAGCCTCTTTGACCTTTGAAATGACCACTCAAGACACACCAACCGTGTTACTCAACAATACGCCAAGCCCTCCTCTTATTCACTATGAATACAGGATACTACGGTTTTTTGAAATATTTTGACCAGATGAAACATGCAGTAATCTGAAAAGGTGAATTGATTCTTTGGATGGTGTCGTGGAATGGACAAAGACGTGTATACCATGCCAACAAGGAGACACTTTCCTAATTCTTTCACACAGCGATCGGAGGGTGGTATCAACGGAGGCGCTATTCCAATTTCATGATCTCTCCCACCATTATTGACCATTTTGTGTCCATAAATGTAAGTTGATTTGTTGGGTGATGTTTTGGAATCGGACAAAGACAAGCATTCCATGCCAACAAGGAGAAACCTTCCTAATTCTTTCCCACAGCGATCCAAGGATCGTATCAATGGAGGCGCTAGACCGATTTCATGATCTCTCCCATCATTATTGACCATTTTATGCCCATAAACGTAAGTTGAATCAATGCATGTTTTGGAATCGTACCCAAACGTGTGCTCACAATGCCAAGATGGTTCATGTTTCATATGTAACATGTACCAGAAAGCACCGCAGTAATCAGACGGAGACACTCGATCAAGTTCATGATCTCTCCTACCAGTATTGACCATTTTATGCCTACGGATGTGAGACGAAAACCATGTAAGTTTTCTCCAAAAGCCATTTGGTAGTGGTGTGGACAGAATTTCGTCACACTCCTTTATTTCAATACATATTTGTCGTCTATGAGTATATCTAACAAGAATGAGCGCTTTGAAATGGGGTTTTCCTGGGTGCGAGCGATTGAATAGCACTCACATGGATTGGGTAAGGAATTCAGCTTCATCCGACAACATGCTAAGAGTGCTCTCCAGCCGCCGTGACTTTACCCAGTCACGGTGGCACGGAGCTCAATGATGGTAAAATATATATGAGTATAGACTTTGGTCGTAGGCTGGGAGAAGTACAAGTGCAATGAGATGCTTGTTCCGGTTTCGTGAAATTCATTGTATTTTGTTTTTGTAGCCAACCAATAGAATCGCAGCTTAGCTACACAAATCGCGTTTTCGACTGTGATATATATTTTTATTTAGAAATTCATGGCACGGAAGCATTTTCAAAGGAAAATCTAGAGCACATATAGATTGTTAGT